CATTCATCTATGACACTGATTATCAGTTAGGAAAATCTAATGAAAAAAGTCTTCTTCATAAATAAGCAAAAATATAAATCATGTAGAATTTGTCTCAATAAGAGATATGGAAGGCCTTTACAAAGATCCTTAAATCTAGTACAGGAAAAAGAAAGGAATACTTAAATTAATAGAGGGACAAACCACGTGCCTGAATGAGAACTAAATGCTTGCAAACTAAATAACTGAAAAATCTATGAACTGTAAAACAAACAAAACTAGGACAGTTCTGAATCCAGTGTGTAGCCTTAAAGCAATCACAATTAAAATGTTGTATAAGATGACATAAATTTCACTTAAAGAATAGGTAGGTGAGAGGCAAAACTGGAAAAGACCTGGAATCCATAAATCTTAGGTTAGAGTTAAGAGCTTTCTGAAGTGTCCTAGTCCAATAGGGAACAGAGGCCCACAGAGGCTGAGGAACATATTTAAAGACACCGGACACCGTTAAGTGGTGTCTGGCCATGAACTCCAATCTCCTGAATTCTTGTCCAGTTGCTCTATTAATTTGCACTGAATCTTTGTATCTAGAATATAATGAATACTCTGAAAAAGAAGAGCAATGAGGGAGAAGTAACCCACTGTACACTAGAACATATTATAAGGCAGCAGCAATTAAAATGGTACAATACTGACCAGAATAAAACAGAATCAAGGGCCCAGAACCAGTCTTTGCTATACATGAAAAAAAGATGCAGTGTATGATTATCTAAGCCACAATGTAATAAGAAATATAAACACTATTAAAATATTATTGAGGTAACAGAATCTTAAGTCTTCAAATACCTATATCTTAAAACAAATTTCAGAGGTATTAGCAAAATAAATAGAAATAAATCAAACTGTAGATAAACTATCAGAAAATAGATTTGTTATCCCAATTAAGGAGAAGTAATATTTTATAATGATTTAAATAATAGAAGACTTTCAAAGGAAAAGATAGGCTAAAATTACTGTATAAAAACTTTATGATCTCTCTAAAATAATACAAAATTTGTTCAAAGGCAAAAAAAAAAACCAAGAAAAATGAAAAAGTATTGACAAAAAATACAGCCAAAGAACGGTTACTATCTATCAGGTCTACATGTATGACCAACAAAAAACCCAAGACCCAAATGAACACATGAGTAAAGAAATAAATAGTTAATTCACCCATTAAGAAAAAAATGTTTTAAAATTTTAAGTTTAAGCAAATTAATTGAAGTAATAATGGAACGGTATTTCGCACTACTACTACTAATAGTAGTAATTGTTATTTTGGGTCATCTTGTTCTCATTACATTCTGGCCAATAAGGAGCAAAAGCAAAGCAAAGCAAAGTTTAGTGCAGGTAGTGTTTAGTGAGAAGACCCCTCACTCAGTCTACAGGGAGCATCACCCATTGGAGGCAATATGGTAAATGCAAATATTCCTACAAATATTCCTACACTTTGACCCCGTGATTCTCAAGCCTGAGAATTTATCCCAAGAGAGTAACTTAAAGGAAGAAAGAAAAAAAACCTACAGGTACAAAGTTGTTTATAGTAGTGGTGTTAATCATAGTTAAAAGAACTGTAAACATCTGAAATACCCAACAATAGATACATCCATACAAAACGAAACTATGCACCCATTAAATGATAAATATGAGGACAAGTCAAACTATAATGGAATTAGTCGTGAAATAAGTATTTTAAAAGTAGAAACAGGGGGCTTCCCTGGTGGCACAGTGGATAAGAATCCGCCTGCCAATGGAAGGGGCCCAGGTTCGATCCTTGGACTGGGAAGACCCCACACGTCGCAGAGCAACTAAGCCTGTGCGCCACAACTACTGAGCCTGCGAGCCACAACTACTGAAGCCCGCGCACCCAGAGCCTGTGCTCTGCAGCCACCGCAGTGAGAAGCCTGTGCGCCGCAACAGAGTAGCCCCTGCTCACCACAACTAGAAAAAGCCCACGCACAGCAAACGAAAACCCAATGTAGCCAAAAATAAATAAAATTAAATCTTAAAAAAAAAAAAGGTAGAAACAGGGCGTTACATCTACACCACCAAATCAATTGTGAAAAAATTATAAATAAGGGTAAATACTGGAAAGAATAAAAACTGTTGCTTTTTCAGAATTTATGGGGTTGTGGGTGAAATTTTAAGATAAATCTTTCCCTAGGGTTTAAAATCTGCTTTAATAAACAAGTTCGAAATTAAAAGTAGACAAGTATATCATATTTTTCCAAAGATTTCATCTAAAGATGATTAATTTTTTTTAATTAGTACTTTAAAAAATTGTTGGGAGAGTCAGGCGTGTAAGCCAGCCGGAGCGGCAGCGCCGGTAGCAGCGACCCGGAAGGGAGCGCGAGGCGACGCTGGCTGCGGGGACCCGGTGACAGTGCAAGAAGTACTAAATTTTACAAGTTTGCACCATGCGTGAGTATAAGCTAGTCGTTTTTGTCTCAGGAGGAGCTGGAAAATCTGCTCTGACTGTACAATTTATTCAAGGAATTTTTGTTGAAAAATATGATCCTACAATAGAAGATTCTTATAGAAAGCAAGTTGAAGTAATGCACAACAGTGTATGCTTGAAATCTTGGATACTGCAGGAACGGAACAATTTACAGCAATGAGGGATTTGTACGTGAAAAACGGACAAGGCTTTGCGTTAGCTTATTCCATCACAGCACAGTCCATATTTAATGATTTACAAGATCTGAGAGAACAGATTCTTCGAGTTAAAGACACTGATGATGCTCCAATGATTCTGGTTGGTAATAAGTGTGACTTGGAAGATGAAAGAGTTGTAGGAAAGGAACAAGGTCAAAATTTAGCAAGACAATGGAACAACAGTGCGTTCTGAGAATCCTCTGTAAAATCAAAAATAAATGTTAATGAGATCTTTTATGACCTAGTGTGGCAAATTAACAGAAAAACTCCAGTGCCTGGGAAGGCCCGCAAAAAGTCATCATGTCAGCTGCTTTATTACACTAAATGCACTGTAGCTCTGAGCCAGGTCTGAAGAGCTGCTGCCCAATTCAACAGTGCCAGCATTCCAACTTTGTTAAACCTACCAACATCTTAAACGGACTTTCTGTGGTGGTACCCTTTAAGGGGCGGATGAAAGCTACTATATCAGTTTGCACATTCTAATCACTTTCCAGTATCACAAGAGAGATTTTTACTTATATAATGGTCCTAGAGTATGCAGCTGGTAAAACCAGAGGCTACAATCCAGTATTACTGTTAAGAGACATTTTTCATCCACCAATGTTGTACATGTATGAAAACGGTGTACTGTATACTTTAACACGCCCCATACTTTATATTGGAGAGTACAATAATGTAAATCCTAAAAGCACCACTATTATTTTAGCATAATAGAAGAGAGTCCGAAGAGCTCCTATATAGACTACTCCAGATAACTTCACTTCTTTGATACTTGTAGCTTATTGTAATTTTTAAAACATAAATTCAAGGTCATTATCATTGTATTGTACAAATAAGCGCTTTAACACAGCGATATAGTTTTTTAATTTTTAAAAATCTGTGGAGACAGTGATCTTGTCTTTAAAATAAGATAGTCCTTTCGGTATAATGTCTTAAAGACGTTGCCTTTAATATCTGTTGGGAAGGAAATGTCCAGACTTCAAATCTTTTATTATATGTTTCCTTTTTTGTTTACATAGGGAACAATGTTTATAGTTGTGTGTACAATGGGGGGTCTACAACAGGAAGTGTATATTTTCAAACAATCTTTTAATGATTTAACAATTTTTGTAAATCACTTTCAGGCTTCTGCAGCTGTAGATTCTCACTGTGAATCCCCTGCTTGCTCGTGCATAAGTGTATTTGCAATACCAAATATACAGGTTTAGTATTTTTGCCTGTTAGTGATTGTTTCACATGCGTAACGTTTTGGTTGAGATGTTAAATGGTGGACGAGTACGGTGGATGTGAATGTGGGAAGTAATTTTAATCATGTGTAATTGGTCACAAGGCCTAAGTTGCAGTAACTATTGCTGTTTTATTTAACAATGCCTTGTTGCTTTGTATGCACTAACATTTGGGTGTAAACATTGTGTGTCTATCCAACAGGGAGCCACAGTATTTAAATTGACCAACCTAATGTTACAACTCCTTTTGAGGTGGCCAAACGTAAACTAAAAGCCTTAATTAAAGTGGTGCAATTTTGCATAACTTAGCATCAGTAGTTCAATAAATTTGGATTGCCAAAAAAAAAAATAATTGTTGGATGTTTTACTTCTGGGAATCTTCTTGTCAATGTTGAATAGGTAGGTGTTAGTTACTATATTTCAGACTAGGGGCTTCCAACATGGTTGGTGGCACCCTGGACACAGCCACAGAACAATCCTTAAGCAGAAGGTTTCTATGCTGAGAATGACCACGAGTAGCGTGAGCCATCGGGAGAAGTGAGTCAGGAGATGGGAGCTGGGGTGGAGGTGAGGCAAGAGACCCCAAGTTTTACTTTCTGAAGGCGAGTCTGGCAAGTGGGTGGGTGGGGCCTTGCAGCCACCAGGAGGGAAGGGCTGGGGTCTGGACTTTGTAGTGACAGCAGATTAGAAAGCAAGAGATGACTCTGATGTCTCAGAAAGAGGAACTGTTCTATCTGGGTGGCTTCCTGGGTGTGAGAGGAAAAGGAAAAGGAAGCAGCAGAAGTTCAGGCCTGGGTCACCCTTCCAGACCCACTAGGTGCTAACAAGGCTCAGGGAGGGCTGGAGGGGTCCAGAAGGGGGGCTGGTTGGAAGAAGACAAGTTTAGAGGTTTTCTGAGTGGGCAGGAAACGCTATCTGATTCACTTATTCATCCATTTGCAAATATTTACTGAGGGCCTGCTCTGCGTCTGGCCCACACTCGCCACTGGGATGGACAAAGGCTCTGACAGGATGTGCAGTGTTTACACGTTCATCTTCTTTGATCTGGAGAAAATGAATCTAGCCCCAGCCTGAGGAGATCATCTCCCCGATCCCACCTACCTTTTTCCTGCTCAGCCGCTTCACTAAGGTCTGGAAGCTTGAGCCCCACTAAGTTCTGATTTCTTAGCAGGATGTGCTCCTTTTTAGGAAAAGAAAGACAACGTTTCAGATGGTGACCTCAGGCTGGACTCTTCCCTCATTCTATGGCTCTGTGACCCCTCAGTCTCACGGGGCAGCACTCGGGGTGGGGACAGTCACGACATCTGAGGGGCACCAGGAAGACCGCTCCTCTCCCAGCCTGTAAAGGTGCTAGAAACCCCACCATCAGTGCCCCATTCCTTGGGTCAGGAATGGTCCTTCGCATGGCTGGCTTTTTAAATAAGCCTGTGAGCCTCAGGGCGAGGGAGCTGCCAGCCACATGGTGGCTGAAGGCTGGAGGACAAACAGAAGCAGAGCCCAGGGCTCTGGGGATAGGAGGTCCCCTGGGTGCCTATGGAGCCGCCAAAGATGGAAACAATGTTTGTGATCTCATGGCTGTGCTCTGAGCTGCCTGGAGCTTCCTGCCTTGTTATTCTGGGCAGTGAGTGCCCACTTTCAGGACTTGGGACCTCCCCTGCCCCCAGTTCCTCAGTGGCCTGTGATGGCACCTCTTGAGTTGTTAAACTCTCCAGACGAATGAGGCCTGCAGATTGCCGTCCCAAGGCTGCAGGCCAATAGCCACTGCTGCCTAGGGCTTCGGCCAGCAGAGTCGAGAAGAGATGGGGATGCTGACAGCAGGTATGTGGCACAGGTAGGCTCACACCTGTTCCAAGTCCAAGACCGGTGCTCCCAAGTGGAAATGCCACACAGAGCTCCTTGGGCCTGTGACCTGTGCTTCTAAGGGGATTTTCAGTGTCCCGGTAGCAAAGGCCACTTGGACGGTTTTCCTCCCGGGTGAAGGAGAGGAAAGGGCCAGCAGAGGGAGCTCTGGCCCAGATGGAAGTCATGCGCCAGGGCCCTTGACCTGTTTCCTTAACCAGAGGCCCACAACCAAGGCTCTCAGCACCCTGGCTTGGACTGGAGGTGTGGTCAGACACAGGGCAGTGGTTAGTGGGATGGGGCCTCCAGGTTCTCTGTGGTTTTCTTTGCTGCAGAGGGGAACTGGCAGGGGTCTGGGGGTGGCCTGTCGCCTGGGCCTGGCCTCTGCTGCCCAGAGGCACGTGAAGGCAAATGCCTGTCTGGCCTCCTTGGCGTCACCTTCCCCAGGGGTCTGGGGCTGCGGCCCACCAGGGGCGGCCCTTGCAGGCCTGTGCTGACCCACTAGTTAGTGAGGTCTTCCTGGCTGGGTGGGCTTTTCCGTGTATAATGTTTTTAACCTCAGCAGCCAGGCCCCAGCTCCCCCGGAGCCTCCAACGCAGAAGGCTTCTGTGCAGGACAGTGGCCACGGTTGGAACGCGTTCCTGCCAGTGCAGACCCCCAGCCCCGCACTTGCTCTTGACCGCTGTCAAGTGCCTCATTTCCTTCCCTGTCCCACGGCCCCGCTGTAGGGGAGCCAGGAGGGCCTCGTCCAACTCCAGCTGTGCGGGCGCCAGGCCCCACCCCGTGGAGTCCCGGCTGCCTTGGCCTGTGGCCTGGGTTGGCCCTCTGGGGAAGTGGGGCTTGGGTAAGGATTTCTTTGTCCTGTTAAACCCTTCTCTTCCTCACACCCTGGGCTCTCTCCCCCTGCATCTCTGGATGACCCCCAGTCATTCCATGAATAGGGCAGTAGCCCCATGAGAGACAGCTGTGCCTGGTTTGATGGCCAATGACAGTTAGGGACATCAGTGGTGTTAGAAGAAATTCACCACAGAGGGAGCAGCCCCTCACGGCCATGTTTGGATGGATTTGAGGCCCTTTGTTAACAGGTATCAGGAAGGAAAGCTTGGGGGGCAAGACAGAGGGAAAAGCCATTCCATCCTTGCCCCATGCTGGGCATGACAAGGTGCTCCATCAAAGGCTTCTTGTTCATGAGCCACCAGCTCCAGTTAGAGAGGAAAACACAGCCCAGGACTCAGGGCCCATATGTCCTTCCATATACCCACCTTCCCCTTGAAATGTGGCAGCTCTACACCAGCTGACCTCACCCGAGTGAGCAGGGTAGAGGCACGAAAGGTGATATTTATGAAGGACATGCTGCCCAGTGGGCTGGTTTTTGGGATGGGGAGGTTCAGGGTTCCACAAGGCCCACGTCTGGGCCACAGCTGCCCCACCCCAGACCCAGGTCAGCCCGGCCAGAGGCCCTCAGCCCAGGTTGGGGACCTGGATGCACACCCTGCCCAGCAGGACCCCAGGAACGCACCTCACGGAGTTTGGTCAGTTTCTGCATCCGCACCGGCTGCACTTGTATCTGAAAGTCTTTAAGTCCAGGAGCCTTGGCCAGCTGGCTGCCAGCTTTGCCTGAAAGACGCTTCTCTTCCTCTGCCAGCGGCACCTTGGCAAGCACTTTCTGAAGCCGGGGGCCGGGTTCTTCGGGACTGCTGTCCCAGGAGACATCCCGCAGCAGGGGCGGCCGGGACACAGGGGGCCACAGCTCAGCTTTGGAGCCAACCTTGGACCCTGTGGGCTCTCCGACTGTACTTTTCCCCTGGGGGGACTGGGGAGCTGCCCCTCCAGAGCCCTGGGTTGGGCTTCTGGGCAGAGGGTTGCCCTCCTTGGCTGTCTTCAGAAGCGGCTTCCCTAGCTCGCTCTCAACAGGGCCAGGCTGGGGGCTGTTCAGGGCCATTTTCCCACCACTGCCTGTGCCAGAAGCTGGGCCCTTGGGTATGGCCTCTGGGCGATGGAGGGGATCAAAGTTTTCCTTTTGTTCTATTGCAATTTCTTTGGACTTCTCAACTGTGGGAGAGCGAGGAGTCAGCCTGCCCTGAGACACTTTCCTCTGGTCATTCTGCTTGCGGTCAGCTAGCCCTTTGAGGACATTCTGAAAGAGACAAGGTAGAGCTGGGACCCCGGGGGCAGGTTGGAGGGGAGAAGGGTGGATTCACCTCTGCTGTGGGGTCTCTAACCCATGGACCCTGCTAAGGGACCCGCACGTGTGTGTGCGCACGCACATGCACACACGTGTATGTGTGTACGCGCGCGTGTGTGTGTGTGTGTGTGTGTGTGTGTAGGGGTGGGGAGGTGTTGGAGAGGTATGGGCTAGGTAGAAAGGGAGGACTTCTCAGTCACATCTGAGCCGGCAAAGAGGACCTACAAACAAGCCTGAGGTTTGTAAAACAGACAGGATAAGGGGACCTGCCATTCAAAACCTGCCAAGAGCTTCCCAAGGGCTAGGCACTGCAGAGGACAGCGGAACGCAGTGCAGCCACAAGTTTTGCCTTTGACTCTGTTGCCCCAGATTCTAGTCCTAGCTCTGCCTGGCAAGGCCCTTAACTCTTAGGGATTCAGATTTCCCATCAGGTTTGTGAACTCCCTGAAATTATATACAAATGTATATGTGTGTTTGTGTGTTGTATTTTTCTGGGAAGAGAGTCCATGGCTTTCAACAATGTCTCAGAGCGTTCTATGATCCAAAAGAGGTTACAGATCACTGAATAAGGGGGTTCTTGCAAAGCTGATAGCTTGCTGTTCAGAAGTTCCAAGATTCTGTGCTCTTCTTTCATTTCCCAAGGGAAAGCTGCTTTGTGAGGTGCAGGTTAGTGGGTCTGTCTGGGTATTTGTGTGGCTGTCTTGTGTGTGTGCTGAAACTCTACCAGAGGACTCTATCCCAGACCCAGTTCTAGATGAGATTAGATTCTATGCTTCCCTGACACCACCTTGAGCAGGTGGTTCTAAGCAGGTGTGGGGCTCTTCGTTTGCTTGTCAGCAGAGATGAGGTTTTCCAGGCTGCCCCCAGGTAGAGTCCCAGCTAGGGGCTGGAGCTTTCCTGCAATTTTCACTAGAGCTGACGGGGGCAGCAGTCTTCCCTGGCTGTTGCTGGGCCCAGTGGTCCCCCCGGCCTCTGGCAGCAGCCTGACTGCGAATGTAAGACTATGGGCAGGACCACCATGGAGGTCATCCCCACTGAATCCCACAGCCTCACCCCCTCCACCTCAGGCTTCCAGTCACCGTAGGGCAGAGGAACCTTCTAGATTCCTCAGCCTTGACCTTCCACTCACGCACACCCACTGGCAGGCTGCCCAGGGCCAGCCTAGGCTTCTGGGACACCGTGTCTCCCACACTCAAATCATCCAAACTGGGCAGACCTCAAACTCACAGGCTCGCCAAGGGGAGGTGAAGAGACTTCGGCCTCATCCCCCTTCTGCTGGAGAAAGTAAACACGAGTCAGTCAGCAACGTGAAGAGGCCGAATCTCCTCTTGAAACACCCTCAAGGAGACCCCTACAGTGGTGTCGATGTCTCCCCCACCCAGCACCCTCGCCTCCAGCGGGTCATGGAGGGCCTCTCAGGTGTTAAGGGGTTAGAGGAGAGACTAGTTGACATAGAAACCCCAAACAGTGCCCCGTTACCTGTGGTGGTGCTCCAGGCAGAGGGGACCCTGGGCCACTGCACGCATCCAAACCTAAAATGGTCCAGACACTGGCAAGTGATGTCCAGCACCCCAGACCCTCAGCTGTCCCTTTAGCAAAAACGCATCTACCTCCCCAGAGTGTCCTCCCTTGGGTCCCTCGGGCCCAGGAGCCAGTAATGCCTGTGCTTGTTGAGTACCTCTCACAATGCCAGGCTCTGTGGGGAGCCCCCATCTAATCATCACAGAAACCACATGAGGCCAGGGCAGGGGGAAATCAAGGCCACACAGCCGGAGTGTCAGCGCTGGGATCTGAACCCGGGCTGCCTGGCCCGAGCCTGAGCTTGCCCCGCAGTTCTGACAAGGGTAGACTGCTCTCCCTGGCACCCCAGCCCTACCCTGGCTGAGCTGAGGGTGTGGCCCTGAACGCAGCCTAATGAAAGGGAAGCAGTCAAAACACAGAGAGTGGCCCAAATAGAGGCCTTTGCAAATAAGCTCTGAGGTGAGCTCTCTCCAGGTCCTCTCTGGGCAGAGGGCCCCAGCCATAGCCCCCTTCCCTCCATCCTCATCCTGGGCTAGGCCTACCTCCCCACGCTAGCTTGAAACCCCAAAGAAAGCACATCTTCCTCCTCTGAGGCAGCCCAGCCAGGCCCCTGGGGAGGGGACCAAACGGGTGTCCTGACTGGGAAGGCTGCAGGACAGGAGTCCTGGGGCCCAGGGGAGGGACTGAGCCACCACCCAAGGTGGGGAGCCAGAGTGGGCAATGTCGTGGGGTTCGGGGGGGAGGTGGACCTCACCAGGCCGCTTGGGGACGGTGAGGGAGTTGCTCTGAGAGGACCCAGGAGAAGTTCCGGGGCTGAGGTTTGGGGAAACAGCTGTGGAGACAGACACAAATTGGCCAGCATTCGTGAAGGTTCAGGACTTCAGCCTAACAAAGACATCCTTTCAGGTATTTCTCGCCTCTGGGGACTGGGTCTGCCTCGTCAGGTTCAGGGGCTGATTCTGGACTCCATATAAGGCTCCTACCACAGCCCAATGCCTCCCTGCTGCCAGCCCAACAGAGGGGGTGCTGGGGTCATTTGGGGGAGAGGGAGGGTGATTGGGGTCACACTCCTCAAGTCTGCCTGGCCTCACCCCAAAGCACCTTCTAGAAACAGAGGACCTGGCATTGCTTGGCAGGTACAGCTCCAAAGGCTATACCTCCTAGACTTGCCAGGATGGCTCTGATTTCAAATGTGCCCCTTCCCTCCTAAGTACATTCAGACTTGTTTAGCTGCCCCAAATTTTTCCTCAAGAAAAAGAGTGACTTTAGCCAAAGGGATAGCAGGAGAATTTCAGAAAACCTTTCTTCTAATCCAGAAATTCCAGAGAGACACCAAAGACCACACTTCCCTTCCCTAGGATCCTTCCCGGGGCACAGCTGGAGGTCAGGGAGAGGGAGCCCAGGGCCAGCCTCTCCTGCCCTTTGCAGAGGAGGTGCCCACAGAGCAGGGCCTCCTGGGGATGGTGGGAGACCACACAGACTCCAGCCCTGCAGTGTGGCCCGGGCACCACACAGTGGGTTTCTCTCCAGGCAGGGTTCAGGGACTGGGGAGCCCAGGTCAAGTTCACGGGTGTCATATGGGCTAGCACTTCTTGGCAAAGCAGGAAGACACAATGGTCACACATAGACCCCAAAAAATGGAAAGCAGAGTTTTCTGGGCTAGAGTTGGGTCAGTATTTCAGAGCTTCTGATATGGGGTGCGATGCCCTCTCCTCACAGGATCCTCTCCACGAGGCTCAGTCCTCCTGGGCCCAAGAGGCCTGGGGGCAGGCGCGTCGAGGGCCACCCCTGGGAAGCAGGGCTCCTGCTGCAGCTGGGGCTGGGCCCTCCCCAACGCCCACCCCCGTCGGAGGGGCTCAGGGCGGCCTCCTGTCATCCTACCTGACGGGCAGTCGCCGGGGCTGCTCCTGGACTTCCTCCCGCGGCGGGTCAGGAACCGCTCACTCACCGACTTGGCTTCCTCCAGCAGCGCCAGGTTTTTCTTCTTGTCCTCCTCTGAGATGCTGATGTCCGGCAGCTGGCCGTTTACCAGGTCAATGATGTGCCCCGCAGGGTCTGTAGAGGAGGGGTGAGCACGGTGTGAGAGCCACGGAATCCTTGGTCCCCAACCTCAGCCCTGCCCCCAGCCCCTACCCCTCAGCCCAGAGACACTGCCCAGAGGGGACTTGGCCAGCCAAATCTCAACCCGTTGCCGGGTCCTGGAGAGGGCTGCATGGGGACAGCCAGGGCTCCCCCAGCAGGCCTGACCCCTCCAGCTTGTAGCCGGTGGATGTGGCAGGTCGTCTGTCACAAATGGCCGTGAAGCCACCTAGGTTCCCAGTACTGTCCTCCACTCTGCCATGAGGGAAGGCCACCAGGAGACCCACCTGTTCTACCTGCTCCCCTAGTGTTCTTCCTTCGGGCTCTGTTTCTTTAACAAGATAGTGAGGTTAACATATGTGGATAAAGGAAGCACTCCAAAGATCATGGGCCAAAGACACAATCCCATGGCCACCTTCCCTCCTTTTTCCCTCTACTCACATTGTTTACCCCCATCCTTCTCCATAACTGCCCCTTCTCCAGGACGCATTCCCTGGGTGAGTGACACCGCCTCTCACCCAGCTGCTCGGAAACGTAGGAGTCACTCCACACTCTTCCCTCTTCCTCAGCTGCCCCCAGGTCCAACCAACTCAGCATCAAGTAAGTATCTCTGGAACCTGTGCCTCATCGCCACTCTTGCTCATCAGCTGTAACTTACCTGCACAATTACATCAGCCACCTCATAGGTCCTCCACCTCCAGGCTATCTGCTCCGTCCCATCCTCCACTGCCTAGCACAGTGACCTTCCTAAGGGCCATATCTGACCATGCGATTCTCCTGCCTCAGCTCATCAGGATTCCTCCTGGTCCCCCGTGTGACGTCCAGATGCCAAACTGTGCCCAGCCACTTTCCCTGATCCCACATACTCCTCTCCTCCAGCCCCTTGGTAGTGAATGGCTCCCGTTGTGCCTCTCCAGCCTCCGTTCCTCCTCCTTCTGGTCATAGCTCCTCGGTTTGCACTGGGTGAAACTCGTCTGAGTCTCAGTCATGTTAGGAAGGAGCTAAACAATACTGCCCATCTCAGCCCAAGTGCCAGCAATGGGACCACGTACCACCCTCAGCCAGCCAATGAGTTCAATCTCCCTGGGTGACTGGTTCAGGGATGGCCATGGAGGCCAGTGAGAGGCAACTCTGAGAATGGTGGTGCGTATATGGGGAAGAGGAGCTCTCTTTTCACTGAAGGGATGTAAGTTGCTGGCAGCCATTTGCCCAGAAGGAAGCCAACACACAAGAGAGGAAACTTGGGAGATGGGATGGGATGATTGCTAATGACCCAACATGAGCATCTGGGCTCAGCGCTCCCTGAACACACAGACCCTGGCTTTTATTTATTTTTATGTGTTTTGGCATAAGCTAGTTTAATTGAGTTTCTGTCATTTGAAAGAGTCCTGACACACAGCCAAGCACGCAATTGCTCTGTTATGGCTCCTGCCCAGCAACACAATTGCTTCCTCCACCCAAATGACGTTTCCTCCCTCTTGTCTATCTGTCCGACTCTCTAAGGCACAACTCAGATACTCTCCCCTCTGGACTACTAATCTGAGAAGCAGGAGAGGGGAAGGGGCCAAGCCCGGCCAAGCTACCAGACCTCAGTCTTCCTACTCAAACACACCTTCAGTTGGACCCCTATCTCCGGTGGCAGAAATAAGACAAATCGGCCTAGCCCTTACCCACAGAAGTCAGGGGAGCAGTGGAGACCTTCAGGTGACGGTGAGAAAGCCTCCTGTGGGGACTGTGAACTCTGAAAGACCAAACAGAGTCATCTTGTTAGGAAAATTTGTCCACGGCCGGTAAATAGGTGACCAGATGCTTGCATATTCTTTCAAAGTCATCCTAGAGCATCATCTTACAAGCTTGTTATTTTTTCAAGGGCGAAAAAATACGGGAATTTGTTAGAAATGCAAGTTCTCAGGCTTCACCCACCGACAGGATCAGAAACTCTGGGGATGGGGCCCAACCATCTGTGACTGAACAAGCCCCGGCCCCAAACCCAGGTGATCCTGATGCTCTCCAAAGTTTTCGAACCACTGCCCTTTGTAACTTTGACGATTTAGTATTTATTAGGGCTCAGACTCTGAGTGAATATCTAACTTACAGAGAACTCCTAAACTGTGAATAATTGCCTGGTAGAAATGTAGATGATTTCTGTTGGGGAGAAAAGATAAAAATAAGGTTTCATCGCCCTGTGAAACATTAACCTACCTTGTATCTAACTTAGCAATCTTTCTTTTCTCTTTTTAAAGATGTATTTATTTATTTATTTTGGGGGGCTCCGTTGGGTCTTCATTGCTGTGCGCAGGCTTTCTCTAGTTACAGCGAGCGGGGGCTGCTCTCCATTGCCTTGCGCGGGCTTCTCATTGCGGTGGCTTCTCTTGTTGCAGAGCACGGGCTTTAGGTACACAGGCTTCAGTAGTTGTGGCATGAGGGCTCAGTAGTTGTGGCTCGTGGGCTCTAGAGCGCAGGCTCAATAGTTGTGGCACACGGGCTTACTTGCTCCACGGCATGTGGGATCTTCCCGGACCAGGGATTGAACCCGTGTCCCCTGCATTGGCAGGCGGATTCTTAACCACTGCACCACCAGGGAAGTCTCTAACTTAGCAATCTTATTCCAGCTTTCTTTTCCTCCTCACTGATTATACTACGTATATCCATTTCTCGTATCCTCCTTTGAACTGGCTTTGTTATCCTGATGGTCCCCTCGTTAATGAGTTAAGTAAATCTTTGACACATGCTCACTACATATCTGTATTAGAATTATCTTTGTAACTTTTTGGAAATTAAACTTAGAAAATCTCATTCCAGGCAGACCAGTGCATGGGCTAGTGCTGTGTAAAACCGAGGCAGGGACATCCCTGTGCATGTGAGCCAGTGTCCCTTCCAAGAGATCATCTTCCACACAGGACCCACTTTGGCCAGAAGCAGGATTCTAGTAAAAAATTCACATCTTTTAGGTCTGTTTGAAAATATCTGAGCAGTTACTGTAGAAAACTCCCCTGCTATGAGCTGTGCTTTTCTTAAAGGTTAACAAGGTGCAAAGAGCCAAATCTAGGAGAGAAGAAATAATTTGTGGGGAAAGATAATGGAAAAATCCCAAGCTCTCTCTCCCATTTTGAAAAACTGCTTGATTGTATTTCATCAATAAAATGATCAAGAACGAAGAAAAGATTTGTAAAAACTAGAGCTGTCTAATCCGCACATGCTAGGAAATACTGCCCTTTACAGCACAGATTAGGCAAATAGGAGGTTACCTGTTGACCAGGTTTTTGTCAGTCTCTTCTTCCGGTGAACTGGCATCCCCAGTGAGGATGATGGTGGGTGGCCTGCAAGATATTCCTGCAGTGGGAGGGCCCTGGTTGTTTAGAACAAAAAACACAGATGGAGTTAAGCTCCCAGGAGCTGGAGCCCTTAGTCAAGTATCATGACACTCAGAGACTTCTTGACAAGGGTCAAATGCTGTTTATTTGGATTATTCAGGGGGGAAAAAAAAAAGGCAGTTTCTCCTTCATTTACCGAGTTTAACTTGGTCTATTTTCATGCACTAAGATTAGGGAACTTCTAAGCCATCCCTGGTTAATTCTCACTAACAATGTAGAAAAAGAATGGTGCAGGGTCCTCAGGCTGCAACCAGCCTGGTTGGGGAAGGATGGAGCCCAGCAGAAAAGGCAGTGACACCACACATTCCCAATACTCAGTGACGCCCTACATTTGGCTAATTGTGACCTTTCAATAAAGGTGATTTGTTCCATGGATAATGGAACACGCTTTGACTTTTGTAACTTTGTAAAAATGTTTATCTACATAAATACACATTTCTGAAATAAGAACAAAAGTTAGGAGCCAATCCTTAGATTTTTGAGATAGTTTGCAACCACTAAACAAAATAGAACAAAACTACTAACCATCAAAATGAAAGAGTTATTACATCCCAGGTTGGAGAAGTTGTAGTGAAATTGGTATACCGTTATGCTGCTAATGGCTGTGTGAGTTGTAAAACCCTATCTGGAGTAGAAAAAATACTTGTTGAGTGAGTAAATGAGTGAATGAAATAAAAGCAATACTGTATAGGATATACAATAAGATCCATGAAGATGCATATCAACCTGTGTTTTCCTACACCTAAGTGTACTGGGGGTAAAAATAGGACCAGTTAACAGTAACACACAGTATCTCTCTGGTTCTTCTGCCACGTGCTATTGCGGTATTTCCATCTCAGAATTGTTCCCAGCTATGTCTGGGAGACTCTCCAGAGGTCCTGTCATATGACCCTTCATCATTTGCCTTCTCCTCTGCCCTGCCCCCTTACTGGTGGGTACAGCCCGGGCCCTCTGTGAATGCCCTACTCTCCCTGCCAAAGTCCTGTCTCCCTGGGCTCTCGAGCATGTCACACCACCTGCACTATTGGTGTGGCCTCCTGAATCTTCAGAGCAGCAGGTGCCCATGGCCACTGTCTCTGGAGGTCGTGTCCTTCTGGAGTCCCTGGGCATTAAGTGCTCTTACCTCTACTGGCTCCACTGAAGCCATGGCCTGGGGGCTGCCCTCGCAGAGCCAGGCTGAGCTGTGTTCTTGAGCCCTTGGTATGCAGGTGTTGGTTCCTTGCGAGGTGAGGAGGAGGCTCTCTCTCCTTTTCACATCATTCTTTGTTGTCAAGTGGGTGCTGTACAGTACCATCTGGACTTCTCAAATCCCACAACTTTTAGTGAAACCAGCTCTTCCCATTGTCATTTGCATCTCTTCCCTCCCTTGGCCTCAAACATGAGGCCGGGTGAGCTGGAGAAGAGTCTCTGAGTCCAGCCAGGGAACGCTGGACCCCTGTGTTCCAGGACCTTTCAGCAGGAGGGAGCTGCAGTGATGGGAGGAGGGGGAAGCCCTCAGAATCCTCGAGCACATGGAAGGGAAGTTTGGGCAGGGACTTTGGCTGGGTAGGAGGAACAGGAAGCAGCACTGCCTTTTGGAAGAATCACACTGCACTCAAATTTCTGCTCATTATCTGCTAGCTGTGTGTCCTTGGGCAAGTTATCTAACCACTCTATGCCCCATGATCATAAAATCTAACTCACAAGGTTGATGTGAGGATTAAAAATAATGTTGACACAGCACCTGGCACATGACTGATGTTTTCAATAAATGGTAATATTACTGTCAGATTACTTTTCTCTCTCTCATTCGACAAACACAGTTTAGTTATCCATCATGTGCCAGGGGCAGTTTGAGATACAAAGACCCTCAAGAGCTCACAGCCAAGCAAGGGATACAGAGAAGTAATTAATACTTATAATAAGTATAAGGTGATAAGGGATGAAGCACATTCTGTGAAAGCTCAAAGAAAAGGAAAGAAAACTCTCTCAGGAAGGGAGCTGGAGAAGACTCTCAAGAGAAGGGGACATTTGAGCTAGGTCTTGAGGGATGAATAGGAGCTTGCAAGACAAAGATATTAGGGGAGAGGTTTTTGGGCAAAGGGAACAGCATAAATAAAAGGCATAACTGGGCATTAGGGATTCACAATGTAGCTAGAGCATAGACTATAGAGTATGTGAAATAGGAGGGCCCAGGGATGTGGGCTGCCATATTGTGATTTATAAGAAATGTATATATTTGGTCATTCAGATGACAAAAATATATTCCTCATATATATTTGGTCTTCATCCACAGTTCCTGGCTTACAGCTCCCCAAACACTTGGAACTTCCTGAGTGATAAAAGCTTGGGGAAACATCTTTTGTTATAGTATTTGGTCTCTTGTCCTCAGTTCCTGAAAATGCTTCAGAGACTTGCTTGACATGTTATAATGAGGTCCAAGAAACTAATTTTGGGGCAAAATATGAAACCAGAATAAGAGGTTGAGCCAGCTTTTGAAAGACCTTGGCTGCTACTCCAGTGAGTTTGGTCTTTGTGGTTTTGGAGATGGGGAACACTGAGGATTAGGCCTGGGAATAACTTGACCGCCCAAAGAGAAAACAGAAATGTTGACAGCAGATCCATCCATGGATCCCCGTGATTCCCACTGGTTGAGTTGCTGGAAGAGGCCCTGTTACTGAAGCACACTTCTGCCCCATAGGAATTTTGAGGAGCTCCCTGGTAAATTGGAGCCGTGTCACTCTCCAGTTGGATATGCACGGTTGGCCAAGGTAGAGTGACAGGGAGTCAGCATGATGCTTGTGGCTGAAGCCAGGACTGGCCAACCTGTCCTCATGACCCCAGAGCTCCAGTCCCTCCAAGAACGCAGATATACATCTTTCTGTCAAAGACTCCTCCTGGAAGAGACACTCAGGAAGGTTCCCCAAAAGCAACAACTCCTTCTGTGGATAGTTTCACCCTGATGGGCTGGTGATGAGCTAGTCACCTGCTTCGTCCTCTTGTTGCACTGTCCCTCAGTTCCCATCACTATAAAGTAGTCAATGGCCTGCGGTCTCAGAAGATGTTTGTGTGAATAAAATGAAGTGATGAATGTGTATGTCCTTTTATAACTGTCATCTGATCTACAAATACCCATTAATCATGGTTATCACTCAAATGAACAGCAGCTCCACTCAGTTCTCCCCACCTTTTGTCCACCAGGCTTCACTGGTGGGAGACTAGCAAGAGCAGAGGGGCTGGCGCCTTCCAAGGGGCCAGGAGGGAAGCAGAGGATCTTGGGTCATGGTGTGGGGCCTGAGGACACACAGTGGAACAGCACCCACGGGAGCTGCTGAGCTCAGGAAGGGGAAGCAGAGTGTCAAAATGGCAGGTGATGATGGAGCTGGGGCAGGCAGGGCCCAGGCAGTGCCCAGCTAAATGGGAGAGCCAGTGAAGTGGAAGGAATGTGGGGCAGGGGGAAGGTGTTTCTCCTGGGTAGATTCTCTGCGGAGCAGAAAGGGCTGAAGTTTTCCCAGAGGCTTCTGTTCACCTCACTAAAAGGGTTTCTTGCTAACATGGCCTCTTGGATCTCAGTTAGAGAATTAGCATCCTCTGAATCCTATCCTCTGAGCTCAGAGGTGCAAATTGGAGACCTGGGAGCCTGTTTGCTGTGAGTAGCATTTACAAGTTTTTATATTAGTTACCAACATTTCATAATTAGAAGAATTCCCATAAAGGTCTGGATTTCCTGCTTTTCCTAAAAAACCAGGAGATCAAGCCATCTTGGTTCCACAGTTCTGCCAAGTAACCCTTGGTTGGAGTCAGCTCACGCTGGCTTGTTTCAGTCATTCACACTCCCTGCCTGGCCCCAAAGCATCTGAGTTACTGCTCCTGTGACCCATGATTCTTAGCCTGTCTTGGTTTTCTGGAGCGCAGGAGGTTTGTGCTTAAAGCCTTCTCCACCCACGTCATCTTTTTTTATTCAAACCACTTTATTAAGGTGTGATTGACATATGAAAAGCTATACATATTTCATGTACACAACTTGATGAGTTTAGAGATAAGTGTATACTGTGTATACTGTGAAACCCTCACCACAATCCCTATCCATCACTTCCAAAATTTCCTCCTGCCTGAGGACAAGAACACTTATAAGATCTGCCCCTGTAGCAAATATTTGGGTATACAATACAGTAGCGTTAATTCTGGGCACTCTACTGTACAATAGATCTCTAGAAGTTATTCGTGGCCGTGTAACTTCCACAACATCCTGACGGAACTTCTTTCCATATGGCCTCATGGGTGACTGTTACCATGGCAATGCCAATCAAAACACTGACTATGCCTATAGTATGTGTGAGGTTCCTTCCCTGGGTGGAATTTATTTCTACAGTGAAAGTTTGGCCTCTGAAAATCACCTTTTCCATGTTCATCACATTTAGAGAATTTTTTTCTTGTATGAATCCTCTGGCAAACAAGAAGAAATGCACTTTGGCTAAAATATCATTTTCACATTTGTTCTATCATATGGTTTCTGACATCCCTTGGAGGGGCTTTTACAAATTCCCAGCATGCACTGGTGATGATGGGCTAGGTCTACATAAGGGGGCAGAAGGAGCCAAACATTAATTTCTGCATGTTGTATTCTAGAAATAAAATGGTGGTGGTGGTGCTCGGGTTATACCATATACCCATTTCCAAGAGTCTCATATATTCCAGCTGCTAAGTAAGTAGAATGCACTTTATTTATTTAATTTTGTTGACACACTACCTATTTCCCAAAGCAATCTGAAGTCACCAACAATAAACTATAAGACATAAAAAGGAGGGAACAATTTGATAAATACAGACATCCCTAGCAGATAAAGAGAAATATATGCTTCTTCTAGCATCCATGGTTTGACCCGGAAGTTAAACTATTTGATCTGAAAGCCAATGAAGCTGTGATCCATGTGGGCGAGTCTCTGAGAGAGTCTGCCTTAGAGAATCGTTCAGCAGATAAAAAGCAAATGTTTTC